TTGGCCTGTGCTGCCCCAGCAGCTGCTCAGATGTGCTGGTGATAACATGATTAGCAGTAAATTGGTTAATGCTTTCCCAGCGAGCAGGATGCACAGGGTGCAGGGGCCACCTCCCTGCCACGACCACCACAGAGGTGCTGGGTGCTCTTGGGGACAATGCTCCCATGCTGGTCCCCCTCAGCTGGGAACTGGGGAGGGCCCAGGGAGCAAGATTGCTGCCCCAGCCATGATATGGTTCAGTGCCTCCACTTCCAGCTGATTTCAAGYAATGTCCAAGTTTATAGAGAATTAGTGAGACTAAGGAACATTATTTTTCTTTATTAGGTTAAAGGGTAAGCAAATACAATCAATCTTGTCATGTATCACAAGATGTCAGCAACTTCCCACCTCAGCCAGAAAATTACCGGCTCCTCAGTGGATTGTGGAATTACATTCATAACCGCAGAAAACAAATATATACRTGTATATTTTAATGAAAACACTGAAGGTCGCTACCTCACATCATCATCACAAATAGGTTACTGATGAGCTAATTTAATCAACAACAAAATCCAGGCTGCAGAGGAACCCCCACTTGGAGGAAGAAGCAGCCCACGTAGGGAGATGAARGTGTTGGTGAGGGGATCTGCAAGGGACAGAGCTGGCAAACGTGWCCCTAATCCCCAGGCTGGGCTGGCRCCCACAGGGACTTGCTGCTCCAKCCCTGACCCAGATGAGTGCAGCCCTGGTGCCATGTTCTGCCCCGTGTTTTAATGATTCCCTACTCCATGTTTTAACCATGGAGACATTTTGCAACGGCCCTATTCTGGCTCAGCTTGGCTTCTTCGTTTAACAGCCTCCTAATTCAATTGCGCTCATCCCCATCCTTCCCTTGCTGTTCCTGGTTCAGATAACCTTGCTGAACTCCTCTTGGAGATTTACCAGCAGGAGGGAGCCCATTAGCTTGTCCGAGCTTCAGAGTTGCTAATCAAAGCTAATGAATTAACCAAGAGGGTGTTGATTTCCAATCCGAGCATTTGGGAGGAGGGACAAGATCTGTCCTTCCCTCTGCCCCATCTCCTCATCTCACTGCAGTCCCCTGCTCTGACAGTGCAGGATGCTGCCCTCTCCCCTCGCTCTCYACACAGACCCACCTGGCTCCAGGCCAGCCAGGAGCGAGCAAAGAGGAAAGCCTTTTGAGCTGGAAAAACACAAATAATCATTGTAATAACGACTGGTAGGACTCTGAGCTGCCTGCCAAGATCACGAGCTGCTCAGACAGCCCGAAGAGCAGCGAGGCTGGAAGTCATTTGGCAAGCACGGGGCTGTCCACAGCGGTGGCGGGGCAGAGGGCAGGGGATGTGGAGAGGCGAGGAGGAGCGTGGGGCCGGAGCCTTTCCTGCCTGGCAGGATGAGGGATGTGGCCCAGCAGGGCCAGTCTCACCGTCGCGGGCACTGTGCCCTGGAGGAAGCTGTGTGTGCTGGCTGGTGCTGCCAAAAGCTGYCTGTGCCCCCTGTGTGACCCTGTGTTAGCCCCACTGTCCCCACACAAGGGCAGCCAGTGACAGCTTATCCAGTGCCAGAGCGACTGTGCGGCTAAACATGAACCGGTGCCCTCCTCACTCTGCAAAGGGCAGCACTGAATCATCCCCTTTTTCAGCTCCAGRTCCCCAGCTCCAATGCGTCCACATGTCAGTTCCAAAGCAAAAACATTTGGTGGCACTCAGCAAGGTCGYCCAGACTGGAGGCAGCAGGAGGAGAGGGGTGGCCCAGACAAGTGCTGCTGTTCTCTTGGTGGGAGGGGATGTGGCGGTGTTTTTCCTCTCTGGAACAGTGCACTCTTCAAGATCTGATGTGCAGGGTGGGTGATGRTGGTAGTCTTGGACAGATCATGGTTCTTGGAGATGATCTGCACACAAGGCCCTCCTACCCAGTCAGGTCACAGCTGTCCCTGTCCCACCCAGCTGCCCACAGAGCCATGCTGCCATGTCTCTGTCACCCTGTCACCCAGCAGGCAGAGACCAGGCTTCCCAGCATTTGTTCTCCACATGTCCCAAGGGGGCCCAGCCATCCACCCTGAGGGTAACACAGCAGCCTGAGCCTTGTCTGGCAGAGTCACCACTGCCCTTCAGATCCCGGTGAGTGCCCAGTCCGTGGTGACAGGGACCATAAAACACACTCGCACGAGCAGACATGTGGCAGTGCTGAGGGCTGGCTGCCTCCTTTGAAGACTGCCCCCGACTCAGAAGTGCCCGTGGTTGCCCAGGCTGCTCAAGGCTCCTCCAGGAGCTCTGGCTCAGCCCCTGAGCATTGCAGGGAAACTGAGGCATCTCCGAGCTGCAGCATTACTGAGGCTGCACCACTTGCTGCTTGCCCAGCTGTTGGCTGGCAGCTGCTGTGCACATGCTGATACTCACCGGGACCTGCAGCAGGATCTGTCTGCTCCTGCCTGCACTTTGCCCACACCACCTGCTGCCCGTTGGACAACAATGGCATCAGTGTGAAGAGCCCAGGTGCAGGTGTGTGAGCCAGTGGCATGTGGCATGTGGCATGTGGCATGTAGCATGTGGCATGTGGCACAGCTTGTCCAGGGAACTGAAACACGTGCGGGCACAGACACACAAAGTGCAGCTCCCTGCGCCTGATGGCACATGCAGACCCCCAGCCCTGAGCTGGACTCCTCCACCTGAGCCCAGAGCCTTCAGATGAACCCAAATCCCTTTAAAAAAGGTTTTCCATCAGGACATGTGCAGGAGGACTGGCGAGCCAGCTGCCCTGGTGCTGCAGGCGCCCTGCATCCACAGGCACGGCGTGCTGCCGCTGTGCAGCCCCAGCCCGCCCTCATTTATCTCCCCTCCAAATTGTGAATGAACGAACTTTCTCCCAGAATAAATAACAATCGCTCAAAAGTTATTTTAGGGCTGGTCTCGGTCGCTGGAGTTTCCGCGCCTGCCGAGGCCCATCACATTGTTTTCTGCTGCTTTCCTTGGCACAGCCCCAATCCAGGGTTCAGAAGTTATTACTATAAAAGTCAAATTGCTTTGAGGGGGGGAGGCYGGGGGAGGCAGGGTCGGTGGAGGGAGAGGGGATGGGATTCCTGGAAAGTCTCCAGCCAGGGATAATTGGAGCTGTGCGGGGTTGGACCAGTCCCCGCCGTGCTCGGGGGAGCGTTTCACCTGGCTTGTGGCCAGCAGAGCCGAGCCGAGGAGGAGGAGGAGGAGGGCTGGCATATTGCAGGAGCAGCCCCCCCGAAATATGGTGCTGCTGGGGCTTGGTGCTGGGGGGTTCCTGGGGGCCCCCTGGCTCATCCCCTGCCATCTCCTGGAGAGCCTTTGCCCATCCTCCTCCTTGCAGCCCCTTCAACCTGCGCTCGCCCCGCTTCCATTTAATGCTGGTTATTTCCCCATCCACAGCACTAATTACTTTCCTGCCTTTGCACCGAGGATTGCCTTAAGCCCTGAAATATTAATGTTTTATTTCCCTTCTAAAACTTCCTCTTTCAGTGTTTGCCACCACAACTCAGTAAATTCTGGCYATCCYTAAAAGCAAATGTTCTGYCCCTTCACACGAGGCACTGCACTCRGTTGCAGTAGAGCTGGTGACAGAATACCAGTCCCCATCCTGAATGAAGYAGCATCTCCCTCCATCCCTTGGGCTCTTTTCCCACACCCTCTGTAGTCAAGGAAGGGTTGCCCTGGACCTTCCCTAGCACAACAGGGCAGGAGCAGCTCATGGGATCTCAGTGGGGATGTCCTCTCTCAGGGTGTCCTTGTGGGATTGTGCCCTCGCTGCTACGTCCCAAATCCTTTGATCTAAACTTGATGCTTTTTTTTTTCCTGTTAAAAACTATTTCCATGAAATGGTCCTGCTGATGTGTCCATGCAACCTCATTAGGATTCAGTTTGCTCTCTCCTTTCCTCCAGGCAGCCTTATTTTTATTATTCCCATTATTTAAGGTTGACCTTACAGCAATGACCAACATTTTCCTGGCAGATGGGGCCATGTCTGTGCTGGCCTTTCCAACCCATACCCCAGAGACACACCCCAGGGTGCCCCTCACCCTSAAACTGCCACCCCAAATCCACCACMACAGTGCTGGGGAGCCACTGCAAACACTCTGCAGGCAGGATTCCCAGGCTGGGAGCAGGCAGCAACAGCCAGGAGATAAGATGTGGCTCAGCTTTGATACGTGCAGCTCGTACGCCTGGAGCAAAATCATCAAACACGGGTATCTGCTCAGCGAGGTGACCGCTGGGCAGCGAGGCTTCGAGGGACAGGGAGCAGGCACGGGAGGTTACCTGGCAGCAGGATGTGACAGCAGAAGATGTGACCTGAGGAATTCAGGGAGGACATCTTCATGGAGCCATTGACAGGAAGAGCCCAGCGCTGCTGTCCCCRCTGCTGTCCCCGTGCAGCCACCCTGRCACAGCACAGGGCACATCCCCAACCCCTTCCCTGCCCCRTCACCTGCCAGGGTGATGAAATACWGMCCTACCTGTGATATTCAGGGTCAGCAAATACAAATGCGTTAACTGAGTATAAGGAAGAAAAATGTGAGGAAAGGAGAGAAAAGGTGAATCTCATTCCATGGCAGCTGGGAGACAGGCAGGGCACTCTGCCCCATGCACCTGGGACCTCTCTGCCTGAGGACGTGTGGAAAACCCCTGTCCCAGGGCTGCAGATTTGTCATTCCACACCTACCGTGACCCAGCACAACCTCCCTTTCCCCAGCCCAGCTGCTGGAGAAAGTCTCTGCTTCCTGCAGGTAAAAAACAGCAGAAATCATCCCTGGGGCTACATCCAGGTGGGCTGGTGGGTGAGGTGGGCTCCTGGCTTCTCAGTACACTTTTTCCACCTAACCCTTCCTTTTACAGAATCATAGAATGGTTTGGGTTGGACACTTAAATACCATCTAGTCCAACAYCTCTGCCATGGGCAGGGGGATCTTCAGCCAGTTCAGGTACTCAGAGCCCCRTCCWGCCTGGCCTTACAGGCAYGGAGCATTCACCCYYTCYCCGGGCAGCCTGTGCCAGYGTTTCATCACCCCCARAGTAAAACACCTCATTCCTTATCTCTAATCTAAATTGACCCTCTTTCAGCCTAAACCCCTTTTAACCCTCTCCTGCCATCCCCAGCCCCTGCACCTCCCCTCTCCAGCACTCCATCCACCAGGCATRGCTGGTTCCTTCTCCATCCCTTCCCTAATGGATCCGACAGCTGCTCCCTGCTCTGGGCCGGGTTTCAGTTTCCCCACGCCGAGGTTTTCTTGCACAGTCTGTTGCAAAGCGAGAGGCAGCGATGCTCCGCGGCCCCGGCGCGGCTGTGGGGTGGGTCACCCTCCCGGGCACCCTGGGGACGGGAAGGAAGGAACAGAGTCGTAGGAATCAGATTATGAACTCAGTAACATCACGTGCGGAAGAGCCTGTGGGGAAGGGGCTTCCAGGGCTATTTTCGCCCAACGAAAGTTGCAATTAATTTGCGGAGGAAGTCGCTCGGCATTAAGAAACCCTCCAGGCAGAGTCCGGACCCAGGGACACACATCCCATTATTTTCTCGTTTAAAAACCATCTCGGTGGTGAAGGGGGCTGCTCCCCCCGGGCTGGCGYTAACGGGGAGCCGGGGGGGAGCTGGGGAAGGCGGGAGCTGGCTCTGGAGGGGCAGGCGTGTTTGGAGAGGGAGAGGGAGCCGAAATTAACCTTGGAAAGCATTCAAATTAGGCTGTGTAATAAGAGACCCACTTCTCTGGGTAAATTTGTTAGGATTAGGGCTCACTGAGCTGTTGAGGAGAATTCAGCATGGCTCAGAGCCAGGACGAAATGAAGCTCCTGGCTTGGTCGGCTGCGGGAAAGTCCAGGCTAATGGGCTTTGGTTCAAACTTTGATAGGAAAAAAATCCAGGAACAAAGGCACTAATTCTTCCAAAAGCCCCAAAATCTCAGTTTATACATTTCTGTTTATGTTCATTCATAATAGATATACACAGCTGTTCTTATCATTCATATTCAAATTCCATTTGCATCCTTAGCAGTTAGTACTCCTGCCTCAAAATGAAAAAAAAAAAAAGAAAAAAAAGCCATGAGGAAGATTAAAGAAAACTGAAAAGCAACCTGTCTTGGGGTGTGAATTCTCCCAGCATCTGTGTCTGAGCTCAGGTCCTTGTGCTGGGGTGGGGCAGGAGAGGAGCCCACTGACAGCCTGGGCTGGACATTTTAGGGACTTATTCAAATCTCTTTGTCACCTGGCACAGACCACCCATCTGCTGACCTCCTCTGCCCTGACCAGTGAGGTGGCTGGCTGTGGATCACCCCGTGCCACCAGCCTGACCCCCATCAGTGTGCCCACGGCTTCCCCAGGGATACTTTGTGAACTGGAGAGGAGTGGATGAGCCTGACCTGCTGCCCTGGGCTGGGGCATCTGTACTTACACTGCCCTGAGTGAGCAGAAGGAAACTTTTCCAAATTCAGTGGTTTCAAGCTAAAAAAAAAACCTCAAACCAAGCAAAACCAATCCCATGATTTTATGTTATTCGGTTTTTTCTTTTAAAAAAATTTTCTCTGTCTCACATTCYAGAGAAACTCTCCTCGCTTCCTTTAAAAATCATCCCCTGAACTWAGGAACARCAACAACAAAAAAATTAAATCTGGATATTTCACAGAATATTTGCATCTTAAACCTTATTTTTTGATCCCTGGAGTTTGCTCTTACAGACAAATCTAGTGCTGTTGAGTAAAGCTCATTAGCAGGAGCTATCTGCTAGAATGAGCAGCGGGGACACAGATAGCACAGATACTTAGAGTGTTGTCACTGGGTTCAGAGTTAATCCTGCTGAGAAGGTCCCCTCTCAACTCGGAGCTGTTGTTCTGCACATCCGTGACGCTGCTATTGATTCTTAGGATGATTAGGGCGGCTGGGACTGCATCCCTCTGCGGTGGATGTGTGACCCGCGGTGCCCCAACGCAGACAGCGGGACCGGGCTGCTGCAACAGCCCCTGACCCTCCTCCTCCTCTCCTCTGCACAGTGCCCAGGTGAGATGCGGGTTTGGCACGGCCGGGACATGGCCTGAGCTGTCCTGGGTGGCTCTACCCCGTGTTCCGGAGCCAGGATGGGGGTGACGAGCCCCGCGGAGCAGCGTGATGCYGCTGTATTTACATTCCAGCGTAAATTAGCTTCTCCTCTGGTCTCTCACGCGTCCTGTCCCCGTCCCCTCCTGCTGCGCGCTCCCCCGGCCGCCGCAGCCCCTCCGTCTGGTTGAAATATCCTTTAATCGGGAGCTCATGTCTTCCGGCCACAGCAGAAGGGGAGTGGCAGCCTGGGGACAGGGGACAGCTCGAGCAYGGCCAGACAGGGCCCCCTGCTCCATGTGCTGTGCCCCAGCACGGTGTGAAGAGCCTGGGCAGCGCACAGGGCTGTACCAGCACCTTCCCCAGCACCTTCCCCCGTGCCATCCTTGACACCCAGGACACAGGTTAAAGTCTGCCCATGACATCACCCCCACTCATGCCGTATTTGGGTGCTGTGAAATGTGAAGGGAGGCGTCATCCCGAGACCGAAAGATCCCCTGTGGGCTGCGGGAGGCAGGCCAGAGGAGTGGAAAGCAGGCTCACCCAGACGTCTTTCATTTCATGAACAAACACACGAAGACCTGGAAGCAATAAATCCAGAGCTTGGACTACAAAACCAAACACGGCCGCAGCTCCCCCTTGGAACAGGAAAGTGGGAGGAAGAGGATAGCCACAAAGCCAGCCGAGGAGCACAGGCAGCGTGTCCCCTCCTGAAAGCACCAGGATTCTTTAAAGGAGCTGCTTCGGGATGCTGTGGCCAAAACCGTGTCCCCAAAAAGCTGTCTGTGCTGGTTCTTTCGTGCTGCCAGTCACTGTGCCCCAGGGATGCACAGAGCACACYTGGAGCAGCCTGGACTGACAGGTCCCAGGGCGAGCAGCCGTCCCTCACCCTGCTGGGAGCAACAGGAGCAGAGTCCAGGGTGCAGAGGGAGCTCTGGCAGGACAGGCACCCTCTAGGTGTACAGCATCACCCACACCCCGTGCCCGAGGTGCCAGCCTGTGCAGCAGCCAGAGCCCCCTCGGGGAACACGGGCCATGTGTGCTGTGCCAGTGGGTGCCAATGTGGGGGTGCCCTGGGGGTGCTGTGTGTGAGGGGCTGTCCTGGGGTGCTGTGTGCGAGGGGCTGCCCTCAGCTGCTCTGTGGGCAGGGCTTTGCCTGTGCAGGGACACCCAGACAGGCATTTCCCTGCCTGGGAGCTTCCTACCCACGGGTGCAGCCTGGCACCCAATGCCCGGGGTGATTCTCACCTCCCAGGGCTCCGTGGAAAAGCAGCTGGGAGCCAGCAGACCCTGTTGCTGTCCCCAGTGCAGCCATCTCACTCCTGCTGCCAAGCTCCTCACTGTCCCCTCCCATCTCTCACCAGGAGCTGAGCATTTCTGCTCTGTGCTGGCCCTTCCGAGACCCTTGGGCTCGCTGCCACCTGCTCATGCAGAGGGAAGGATGAGTGTGTGCCCAGGCTGTCAGCATTGCCCCCAAACCAACGGAGCTCATTTTAGGGAGCYCTGATTGCCATGCAGCAGGGGACATCCCACCCTGCAGACTTGGGGAGTCCCGCTCACATCGGGCTGGAGACCCAGGGAGGAAGAGGAGAATGAGGATGGAGAAGTGACAATACAACCAATGGGCAACACAAGCCATTAGCAGGATCTCTGGCCGAGTCTGCACTTCCCCATRGTCAGCCTGCAGTAATCTCAGCTTCCCCACATCCCTGCAGGCTGGCTACCCACCCGCTCCCTCCCCAGCACCCCACTCACCTGACTCGATGATCTTACAGGTGATCTTTTCCARCCCAGATGATTCTTTTATTTCCCCTGGCAGCCGGGGAAGCTGCAACAGCATCGGAGCTGCCTTCTCCTTCCAGCACTCGGGCAAACTGCTATTTGTAAAACAAAGGTGAAAACATCAAATCAAACGGATGAGTCAGAGGAGAAGTTCAAAAAACGGGGAGCGCGGGGAAGGAGAGAAGCAGGATCTCCATCTCCCCTCCCACCTGCCAGCAGGCAGGGAAGCAGGCAGGGAGGGAAAGAGGCAGCACCTCGCCTSCTGGCAGCCCATCACGGCTTCAAAGCGGCGCAGATCGGATCTCGCAGCAGCCAGGGACGCACCGAGCAAGCGCTTAGCGGGGAAAGGAGATGGCTCCGATAAGCCAACGTGTGAACTCCCAGGTTTAAATTAACTAATGACTTCAGATGCTGCCGATAGTCTGCAGGGGATGGGGAGGAGTGATTTATGGGGGAAGATTAAACAGACTAATTAGGCCAGCTTTAGCACTTAGGAGTTACCCAGCAGGGCTGGGGGCTGTGCCAAGGAGGACCCACTGTGCCCCAGCCTTGWGAGAAAGGATGGGGAGCAACTCCAGGCCCTCCCCATGAAGCTGCAGGTGCTGTGGCAGCTTCCTCACCCAGGAGCATCCCTGCAGGAGAACAGGAGGTCCCACCATGCACCCCAGCACTCACCCACAGCTGCCACTCTCAGGTGCAGACATGGGACCCTTGTGGACTCTTTTTCTGCATGACCTGCACCTCCCCAGTGCTTCCCAAGAGCACAGAGGACCAGGGCTGTGCTTGACCCCCACTGCTTTATGGCCTCTGGAACAGGCACTACATGGACCAGGCACCACAACTGCCGGGTGTTTRGGGTGAAGGGCAAGGTCAACAGGACTCACACCAAGGTTCTTTCAAATCCCAGTTACATACATGCCAAGAGTCAGTGATTTCCAGTGGCTGGGCAAGCACTGAGCTCAGCCTCATGCTGCACTGACTCACYGCTCTCACATGTAAGAAGTTGCCGTGGTCTCAGCCAGGAGAGCTTTTTATCACGTTATGGGAAAGCACTTGCAGTTTCCTTTTCCAGGAGCCCTGGATATAATAAAAAGGCCTCCTCAGGCTTCAAAGCAGGAGGATTTTCATTGCTTCCTGGGCCAAGAACAAAGCACCATTGAGCAAGGCCAACACTTGTTGTCTCTGTCCCTTGATGTGCATCAAGCATCCCGTTCTCAGGCTCAGAGGGCTCGGTTCACAGGGATGGAGACAGGTTCATCCACAGCCATTGCTCTGGACCACGAGCACTCTGARACAGGTTTGTCCCCCTCAAATTATCCCAGTTTAACCATGGGCTGCCAGGGTGGCCCTGGGTAAGGCATAAGGAGTGCTGGTGGCCTGACCCTGGGGCTGGCATCACTTCCCCATCCATGCACWCAGCACCTGCGAGACAACGGGGCGCTGCTGGAGTGCATAAAATAGTTTTCAGCAGGGATTGAGTGCATGACTGTGTAAATAACACAGAGATACCATGAAAACAGCTGTTTTCACGTTAAAATGGAAATTTAACAGAGTGACAAGCAGGAGCTGCAGGGAATGCAGCACAAGCTTCCTCTGGGAACCCACACAAGTCACAGCTTAGTGCCGAGGCACGGACTTCCCACCGTGTCCAAAGCCCGGCCCTGGGCTGATGCCTGCCCAGAGCAGTACAGAGAAGTGTGGGGACTTCCTGCCCCTGGTCCTGGGGTGCCCACAGAGAGCAGGAGCCCTGCTTTCAGCCTGCMACCCCCAGCACTGTGATATGCCAGGGACAGACAGCCGGGGACATTTCCCAGATGCCTTTGGAGAAACAGGAGTTCCTTGTCACTGCTATCAGCATCAGGCCCTTGGGCCCTTTGCCTGCCCACGCTGGGTCTAGGACGGGTTTCCTGGAGCTCTTTTTCATCAGGGTGTGGGGACTGGCTGGGGAGGGCTCTGCCTGGCATGGTGCCACCGGTCCCACTGCTCACCATGAGGGTTTGGGAGAAGAAATTTCTGTTGTCCCTATGGATCCAATGTGCAATGCAAAGTGCCAGGCCAGGCAGGGCTGTGGTGGTCTCATGAGCCCCTGCCTGCTCCCCACATCCCCTGCTGCCAGCCCACGCTCTGATTCAATCCTCCCCCCACTTCCCTGGGAGACAATAAACCTTCATGTTTGTGCAGAGACAGAGACAGGACAGTTCACATGGGGAAAAAAAAAAAAGGAATAAAAAGTCAGAGGAAAAAGCCTGGGCCCATGATGTCCCACAAACACCACACCTTTGTGTCTGCCTGTGATCTGCTTCAGCTGTGCACAGCATCACTGGCAAGAAATTACTCACTGCACAATATTTTTGTTTCCCCAAACCATTAATGAATTATTTAGGCATCTCCAGCAGTTACATGGAGGATGATCAACTGCTGCTCCATGTGGGCTGCCTCGGTGCCTGCCGGGGAGCGGCTTTCGGGGAAAGCACCCCCATTGTCGTGACACTCCACGTGCCTGAGCAGAGCCGTGGCACTGCAGAGCTCTCTGCAGCGCTGCCAGCAGGGCAAAGAACGTCATCTCTCCCTACAAAGGCTACGAGCACGAGTAGGAGCTTTGTTCCAGAGCTGCAAGAGAGAAGTTCACCTGCTCCGCCTCCCCCAGCCTTTTCCTCCCTGCGACGTGCTCCAGGCACCTGCCCAGTGCCAAAACCGTGGAGAAACTCGGCACTGATTTGTAATGTGTGAAGGTAATCCAGTGCTGGAGCAAACTGCTGCACTGAGTCACAGCAAACCTTGGCTACCTGCTCACGAACACGGGCCCAGGATGTCTGAACCCTGCAGAGAAAGCCCGGGCTGTGGCGGGGGAGAGCTCCGGCTGCTGCCGATCGCAGCCGCGAAACTTCACCAGGGTGACAAAACTTCACCGACCTGTGACAAAACAGCCCTGCCAACACACTCACACACACTCAAGGTGTCTCAGTGCAGCCTCCTGGAGCAAGGTACCACTTGACACCCTGCACTAGCACTGCCAGGCACARGCTGGAGGCTTCTGAACCCGGGCAAGCCCCAGGCAAGGAGGCATTCCCAACCACTCGAAGAAATACCTTTCATCCTGCAGATAAATGCCCCGAACACGGAGCAGTGAGGGGATAAAAAGCACTCTCCAAGAAAACTTCAGAAGGACAAAAGTCCTTTCATAAAATCGCTCTTCCCTGTCGGAAAGGCACAYGGTGAGGATGGATTACTCTGCTCCMAAGGTGAGCACTGGCTTGACTGGTTCCTCACTGCTGGACGATGCGGGAGCTAATGGGAAAAGTAGGGAGCTGGTGCTCTCTGCCTCGTAGCTAAGCAGGAAGGTTGTGTTTTAAAGCCAGAATCCCCAGAATCCCCAAAGGGATGGGAAGCCCYGCTCCTGGCTGTCCCTTTTCTGTCAGCACAGTCAGCAGGAGATTGATGCCAGGGGAGACACTGTCCTGAGGAATAACAAAGAAGCTCCCGGGGATTTCAGCTCAACTGTGAAGCCTCCTCATCCCTTCCCTCTCTCGCTCCCACAGCAAGTTTACAACCTCTGTCACAAACATAACTCTAGGCTCACMCTGGACAGGCTGGGGGCTGCATGGGTGCCTGGGTGGGGGTCAGTCTCACCAGCCATCATGGTTCTTGCCCCCCAGCAGGGCCTGCAGCCCATCTGGCAGCCCCCAGCCCCACATCTCTCCCAACATTTTGCTTTCTCCCCTTTTCCAGCTCAGCCCCCTGCATGGCCTCAATTACTGGCAAAGGTTCCCACAGACCCTGGCTGACTACATCCTTCTCAGACCCGGGGACCATCACCTGCTCCCAGCTCCTGAATAATATCCAAAACCTCTTGCTCATGGTTTCACAGCTGCCTGATGTCTCAGTCATCCCCAGCCTGCCTAGTTTGTGGCATCTCCAGCACTCCATGAGCTTGGCACGCTCCTGGCCCAAGGTCCCCAGTCGGTCTTTTATCTTCTGAATTACTTCCCCTATGCTGAAGGCGGGGGCAGAAAGAGTTGAGGGGCTCAGGTGAGGAGGAATCTGGAATCCATGAACGCCTGAACCTGAGTATCAGCGCCGGGGTTCTCAGCCACTGCAATTTCCAGAGGAGAGTCCCCTCCCCGGGGGGGAGCTAGCACTTTGGCTAGCTCTGAATTTGGTGGARCACCTCACCTCGATGGTTTGGGCACTTAGACCTTTCCCACACCCTGTGCCTGGTCCCTCTGACGTCTCAGCGCTGAGAGCTGAGATTAGACTGGAGGGAGGGACCCCCTGTAAGTGAGAGGAGGGCCGACATCACCGCAGCCCCATCTTCCCCTCCTTCATCCCCAGCCCCACCGTGCCTCATGTGGCTCCCGCCTGCCGCGGGGCCTCAGCCCRGAGGAACACACGCTTTTTGTCAGGGCTGCTCTCCTCATGTTTATTTTCCTTTGCCGTGTGAGCAATTTCCCCTTCCCACACAGGCCGTGGCTGTATCAAACGCGGCCGTGGGGATGGGGCCAGCCCTACCCGCGCTGGCACAGCCAGCCAGGGAYGCGGGGCCGTATCTCATCCGCTGGCATGCAGCACGCCGCGCCTGCAGGAAACATATGTCACTGCTTAAACAGATCGTGAAAGCTTCAATCACTTCCTTATGGCGGAGCCGGGCTGAATTCATACCAACAGCCAGCATCTCCTGCGCTCTTTCCTGTGAGTGAGASCAGCCCCCGGCCCCGTGGGGCGCTCCCCTGCCTCGGTGCTGCCCTGTCCCTGTGGACAGCTCCACAGCGAACTGCGAAACACCGTCCGCGAAAACAAACCGTGGCTTGTCAGCACCTTGTTATTTCCTGAGATGCTCCCGCTGCCTGCAAACCCGCCCGCAGGAACCTCGGGGATGGAGCCCTCACCGGATCCACAGTCCACCCCCAGGCTCCCTCCAGCACCTTGCTGGGTGTGCAGCTGCTGTGTTTGGGACATTTCACCTGCTGGCAGCACATGGCCAGAGCCCAGGACAGCCTCACTGCTCCCCAACCCCTCACAGACCCCTGGGGCTGCCTTGGAGGAGCACAGTGCATTTCATGGGCATGAGCTGTGCATGGAGAACAGGACCCCCCAGTCTGCCTGTCCCCAAGGAGTACATACAAAGCTTTCTTGAGGCATCTCTTGGAGCAATGGCTTTGGAGGGATGCCAATCACACACTCTCCTGCTCCAGTGATGGGGCTCTGAAAGCTCCCAGTGTCAACAAAGCAGAGGGCCACAGCTGCCCCCTCGCCCCATCCCTGCAGCAGTGTCCAGGGCTGCCCAGGCGGGTCCCTCCTCCYGCAGACGTGGGTAGGTGTTGGTGAGACGATGCATCATCACAGCGTCTCTGCCATTACCCTCACTCTTCTCCCGTGGGCTGGAATTTGCTTTTTTTGGAAGAGATGCAGGCAGGAAAGCTCACGTGGGCTTTGGTGATGAGACTGGCGGCTGCAGTCATCCGAGCCTGGCAGAAGATGTTGGCGGCGCAGCCAGCCTGGCCACGAGCGTGGTTGTGATGCCAGAGCTGCCAAAGAGCTCCCCCAGATTCTCTGCTGCCACCCTGCCTTGCCCAGGGGGTCCCCCATGTCCCCCTGCCTCCCTGCAGCCTTCAGCCACCTCCGCAGCACCTCTCGCCTGGGATGKAGACAATAACATCTTCCTTATGTGCCTGCAACAGCAGCCAAAATCCTTGGCCTTTCCTGGGATTGCATTTCAGTCAAATGCCCACACCCTCACAAAAGAAAAAGAGCAAGAGAAGAGTGTTATTTCTGCAAACACACACACCCACAGAGATCCTCGCCTGCTGGAGACGAGGGCACGCAGGCTGGTGCCGTGTCTGTGCAGCTCCCACCTCCCCAAGCTCTGCTCACCAAGACTTCACCTGAAACAGCCAGTTTGCTTGGGACAGTCCTCCTGCCTCCCTGCYTGGAAGCAGCACCATTCCTGGAGCATTGCCCGCTCATCAGCTCCGGCTCCTCACTGTGGGATCATTTTGCTTACCCAAAGCACCTTCTTGCTTGTGAAGGACAAGAACCAAATCCCAGCTTGATCTCAGCGGTGTGATCCGCCCGGGTGCCTCTGCTCCAGGACCACGCACTGTGGAACAGCCCTGGTTCTGTCACTATTGGCAAATCCCAGCCAGAGAGGTGCCTCCCCTTATTAAGGAAGGGAGTAGCACACGACAGAACCTCCCTACCCACCCCTGCAAGCCACCCTCGGGACGCTGTCTTCACCCTGCTCATGTGGCAGCAAACCCGTCCCCTGTGTGGCCACAGCCTTGACTGGGATACAGGAGCCACCAGGGCTCTGCCCGATCCCKTGCCTGCCCCAGGCAAGAGGTGGAGAGGCTGCAGCCCTATTTCACTGCCTACCCCACAGTCCTCAGGGTCGGGGTTGCCTCCCACCCACACCTGCTGCTTTGATGGGGCAGCAGGAGTGGGGCAGTCACATTTCCAGCAGGAAGGAGCTSGTGGGGGATTGTTCAAAGGCCCAAGACAGTTTACATGGCTGGTTGTTGCCATGCTGATGGACGTTCCTGAGGAATACACCTTTATTCCAGTTCATCTGCTCCCTTTTATTTCCAGCCATCTCCCTGCCACAGCAATTCCTGTATATCAGTATCAAGTGCTTGGCTTCCCAGCCAATTTGTACAAATTAAACCAATTTTAAGGGGAAGAGGAGGTGCAGACTCACTACCCATAAACATTTTGCTATGTGGTCTACAACCTGCTCAAACCACAAAGCTCCTCATGGTTGTAAACAGCTGCCAATTGCTGGTTCCCAGCCTGTGTCTCCAAAAACATTTTCGGGCTGGACCYTCCATCCCTCCCCATCTACCCACGGCTCCAGTCCCTGGAATTTACCAACACTTAAAAATATTTTACACATCCCTGTAAAATCACACACGTTTAAAGCCAGTTAAGGCCTGAATTATGTTTTAAGATGTTGTCCAATTTGTAAGCATCATAAAAACCTGAAATAAGTTATCGTAGAAATAACCACAGGGAAATTACTGTCCCAGCTCGCAGCCGAGGAGGCCATGACCTGGGAGCAGGAGCAAACAGCTCTTGCTGTGGCTAATGCAGCCAGTGAGTGGGAGGGCTGCCAGCACTTTTGGGGGATCTATTTTAACCATCAGATTTGCYGTAACCCCGGGCAGCTTTAGGGCAGTCATTACACAGCTCACCTTCTGCTACAAGAACTTTGTTTTAATCTGGGTGCAAATTYGTCGGTGACGCAGGAGAGCCCAGTCACACTTCACCAGGGAATCCCATGGGTACGTGAGGGAGGAGGGATGGGGAGTTYAGGGAGGTGGAACTGCCCTAGATGTGTTTGGAAGCCTGGAATGAAGCATAACTTCGGCTGACAGGTTTTTCTCCCCAAAAGTATTACTCAGTGAGTCATGCAGGAGGCAATTGTGCCCATACAAAGAACTTCCCTGCCAAACCATGCTAGGGGTCAGTCTCATGTTTTGTATTTGATCAACCTGGCAAGGGCTGGTGAAGGAGCCTGCAGACCCTCAGAATCACTAAGCACCAGCCAGGACACAAAGTGGCTCCTGTCTCCCAAGAGTCCAGTTCATCTCTGCAAGGTTCCACTGTCCYCTGCTCCATGGCCATTTTCTCCATCCTGCTTCCTTTCCAGTCACCATCCTGCCACCACTTGATTTTTCTCTGAAATCCTCTTGTTTTTGCTGCCAATTCCCAGAGAGGGAAAGGCACCACCGATTAGGATACACCAGCATTCCTTGGCACAGGAATGTCTCATGGGGTTCCCCGTCACCCCGACTGTCTCCAGTGTCACATCTGGGCTAGTGGCTCCCCACTAACTCCATGCTGGCTTTGAACATCATGGGTGTGCACAAAAGGTGGGTAATGAAATTAAACTGCCCAGAGAAAGACACGGAGCAGGACCCAGGCCTGGGAGCGAGCTGGTCYCCTGCACGGCGGGAGCAGCCGGACGCCTTCCCCGTGTTTTGCACTCTCCATCTGTCTCCAATGGAAGGCAGGAGCCCAGCCTGGAAACCCGCTGATTCTTTCCAGAGCTGCAAAACAAAGCTTTTTCATCCCAAGGACGCAGGCTGCTCTGCAAGCTGCCCTCCTGCCTCCCTAAACTCTGACCAGATTTCACACCGAGCCTTCAAAGGGAAGGAGCCGGAGCAGCATCCCCGGCAGGCAGCACAGTGGGACCGGCCAGCGAGCCCCCCAGGGATACCACGGGTCCCCAGGGCAGGGCAGCAAGTTCTCGTGGCAGAAAGGTGTTAACCAAGGCCAAGCAAGCAGGCTGCAGCTCAGCTGCTGGCAGGGAATCAGAGAGCCCAGGTCTGTTTTGCTGCCAGGTTATCAGTGGATCCATCAAGGGATGCCTTCAAGACGCCAAATCTATCAGCTCTCCCATATGGATGCCATCCACACTGAGCCATTTCCTGCCTAATCGGTATCAGCCCTGCTCCTCCCTCCCCAAAAATTGCTCTTTACAGCCTGCTGCAACTCTGCAAATATTTTTACAACAGGTAAAAAAGGCACGGAATGCATCCCCCCACCCAAGCCGCCCTTGGGGCATTCAATGTGCACCGCCACAACACCAATGGGGATGCAGGTGCAGGAAGACATCCTTGGGGCCTGACATTGTTTTGCACTCTGAAATTCCACTGTGGCTCTGCAGACACCCCGGTGGGTGCTGGAAGTGCTGCAGGAACCCAGGAATAGGGATGCAGGTGGCAGGGGCTGCACAGGACCTTCCCGGCTGCCAGCGCAGAGCCCCAGCCAGGGTGTGCCTTATTTACCAGCAGAGAGGAGTTTACCTTGCGAAGGTTTCTGTGCCTGATAGCCTGGGATTATTTTGTCTTTCATGTGGTCTCTAATGAAAGGGAGTCTGGAACAGATGCAGATTTGAAAGAAAAGAGGAGGAGGAAATTTCTTAGCATAGGGTTTCGGTTCCCCTGCCTATAAACAGTGCTGACAGCGAGAGGCGGCAGTGATAAACACAGCGATAAGAGCCCAGCTAGACAGGTAATCTGGCACAAAAGGTCTGTCTGGAGAAGTTTAGGCAAAAGTCGCCACACGCTGTTTAAAAAACACAAAACCTCAAGCCCTGGCCAGTGCAAGCAGTCGCTGCAGGGAATTCCCCCGGCTGCTTGGGCACAGGGTACCCCTGGTAGGAGYGGGGTTACCCCATTACTAAGCGTGGTTGGTTTTCCTGCCTGGCAGCTGTGGGAATTCCCAGCAGAGGGGTTGTTCCCAGCAAAAGCACTCAGCGTTCCCTCCACAGCCCCAAAACTATCTCGCTTCCTCGTCTGATAAGCTGTCACATATTCTTAGAGTTAAACGTCTTCAGTGCGCAGTATTCGGGGAAATAATTCCTYCTGTTTAAAGATTCATGGGTATTGGTGTTGGGGAAAAACCCAGCAGTTTTYCTCTTCCTTGTGGTCAGGAATTGCTGCAGGGCAGGATTGTTTCTGATAACAATAAACAGCATCTTGGCCCAAGGATCCTCCCACCRGTGATACCGTTCCCAGGGTCCCAGGTAAAGGACCATAAATCCTAAAGCCTTGAATAAAGAGTGTAAATATTTTAAGGTGGGAACAGTGTGTATAAATTGTGCAGAACTTTATAAAAGCCACGGAAAATACATCCCTGCCACACGAGCAGAGTAAGCCTTACACAACAGCCGGGATGATTCACGGGAGTGGAGAGGCATGAATCACCCGAGGCGGGTGAAACAGGTTTTCACCCTGTACCTGCACTGCAGAGACAGCCCAGCTTTGGCAGGGATCTTATCAGCCCCATCCTGCTCCCTCGGCACTGCTGCGTGACTCGACTTGCCGGCCTCGGCATCACCGGGGTGTGCTGGGGAGAGCCAGGGCAGGCTAAGGTGGAGTAGGAGAGCCAAGGAGGGTTTTCTTCTGGACCAGCTGATGCCCAGCAGGGACAGCAGAGAGATGCCCATTATATTCAGGTGATAACGACAAAATATTTCTACAAAAAGCCACGCCAAAGGAGCAGAAATCGAATGAGTCTGGCCAGCACAAAGGTTCTGAAGTTGAAAGCGAAATACCCGAAGGCTCTGATGGCTCTCACTTGCCAAGTGACCTGGCTGCTAACAAAAGAGCCAGAGAGGGAAATAGCCTGCTCTCTGGCAGGCATGGAGACACGGCTCTCTTTAGGGCTGTGAGAACTGAATCGGTGCTTAGAGATGAAGGTGCTCATGAGAAGCGAAATTAAAAGACCTGTAAATCAACTAAGTAAGAAGGGGGCAAACAGTCCTGGCTTCCTGAAAGGAGTTCATGCCTCTATCTGTTAGGATGATTTCTTCCATTGTCAGGAGGGCAAAGTAAGGAGAAACGTGTGACATAATGTGTTTGGGGTTTCAAAGCTYTTTGACAAGGGTCCCTTACGAGAGACTATTAAGGGAATTAAACGCTTGCAAAGCAAATGGAAAAAGTAACTCTAATGGTTGGAAGCAAAGAGGCAAAACAGCATATATTAACAAGGGCTACCTTCCAGAAGGMTATGGTACCCGTGGGGAGGCTCCCCAAGTTTTTGTGTCAATACCAGGGGTGTTAAAGAGATGCCTTAATGATCTGGAAAAGGAGAATGAAAAATGTCATAAGAAAAAACCTGGCAGAGGACCYAAACTGCACAGAGTGTTCGGAACGAGCGAAGGCTACAGGGAACTTCAAAAGGCCTGAAAAGAGCTTGATGGATGGGGCAGTCAATGGCGGATGAAATCCAAAGTAGACAAATGCGTAGTCATGCACGCTGCGAGGAGCAGGCCCCACTAATTCAAACAGAATGTTCAAGCACAAAGGAACAGGAGAGATAACAGGGGAAAYGCTCTGGTGCCAATACCTCCATCGATGGTGCCCCCTGATGGAAATCCCTTTCGGGATTAGAGGGTGCCGTGCTCAGCCCTGGGTGCTGCACTTTGGTAGAGGCGCTTTTCAGCCCCACTTTCCCCTGAAGGAGCCCAGGGGAGAAGAACCCTGCCCAATGTTAGGCACGGGAATCAGTGCAGATGAAGGAGGTCTATCAGGTGAGCCCARGCATCTCCTCTGTCAGGAACTGCTGAGAAATAGCCTGATTTTGCAGGATGGGATTGCCCTCAGAGGGACTCTCCTCTCCCAGGGGAAGARCCCAGCGAGACCTGCC